AAAGACACAAGTGACACTGTCCTCTGTGCAATGCAGAGATGGGATGAGACACAATGGGCACAAATTGAACTATGGGAAGTTAGAATGAAAGGAGTGGTGGTGAAACACTGGAGCAGGCAGCCCTGAGCAGCTGTAGAGCCTCTGAGGTAGGACAAGCGTTTTCATGGGTCCCTCCATGGTACATGGAAGGATTGAGGAAGAGTTCTAGAACTCTAAAGAGTAAAATTTGTTTCAGGCAGCTGAGGAGAACCTGCAGCAATCCCTAAATTTAGTGGCTCTTGCTGATAATGGTGGGATTTTTATGGAAGTGCTAGTTTTTCTCTTGAAGGGGAAGTCAGCCACCCTTGATCAAAAAGGCAAGGGGAAACTGTAATAGAATGAGCAACACCTGAATTTGGCAAAGTCCTTCAATGAGGTGTCTGCCATATAAGGGAATATTCCCAAAGAAAGAGTAAATTATTTGTTATAAAGAGTGTGTTTCTAAAGGAGCATTCTGTACTTAGACCTCGTGGAGGGAGCAGGCCGCTCTGGGGAAGGGTCAGCTCAGTTATCGTGGCAGCCCCAGAAGCAGCGTGAGCCCAGGGATTTCTTAGCAAAGGAGGAGAAATCAAAACCAATCATTTTCATGCCGCAGTCTAAAGCTAAAAGTGTAGCTACAGTGTGGTTCAATTTCCTCCTTTTTTCATGACTACTTTACTATTCCTTTACAGTAATACATAATCCCTTTTATGAGCTACTCATTAGATAAATGCCTGACGTCACATCCTCCTTCATTTATTGTGTTTTCCCACGTATCCACGCTTTCTCTCTTGCCACGTCTTTTCAGAAGGAGGAAGTTCCCAACCATAGAGTTGTAGTCGCTCTCACAGATKCCARTCTCATAAAGCTCTCCTCCAGCTGAGCAGTGGATCCTGTGGTGTCTTGAAAGCAGRGACAGGTGAGTAGTCTTTGCAGTTCCCGTGCAATGTGATTGCCCTTGTGCTTTCAGAGGAAGAGTGAGCCAGGCTTCCTGTATTTGTTTTGCAAAAGCAATGGACTGGCTAATGCAGTGTCTAAAGCGTTGCCTTATCTGCTGCATTATTTCTTAATGCAGAAATATATTTTGAATTTTATAAAAATGCAATGCTAGAAAAATTTGCCATTAACTAAAAATGCGCCGATAACCTTGCACCTTGCACATGGTTAGAGTGGTGTTTTCCTTCCTCCTGTGGAACACAGGAACTTCCTCCCAAGCCTGTACCTCTTTCTCTTCTACAGCTTGCAAGGCGAAAAATGATTTACAGGGTTCAACGAGCTGTGGTGTGGAGGGTGGGGAATGAAAAGGCTCTGTAAAAGGCAGGGTGGGTTGGTTTTACTGCCTGTAACACGGGCGGCACACGCAGGCATTTTTCTCTGGGAGGAGAAAATCTTCAGGAGATGCAGAGCTGATGGTTTGTATCTCAGCTGCCTCTCCTCTGTCCCCCAGCCCCAGTGCCTGGGAGCAGTGGCTCCATGCTCTGACATTTGRATATCTCCCAGTGCAGCTGACAAGTTGCTTTTGGCCAAAAGGGAAGCACMGTATGTTACCCAGGCACAGTGATCAAGGGGAATGACAAATAGGGCTGTGCCAGCTGTCTTCTCTGTCCTGTTCCCCGCCTCTTTGCTTACAGCTGCTGGATTRAAGCTTTTGCTGTTTCCTGAACCTTTCTGTCCTACAGCCTGGGGCTTTGGATTTGGAGCGCAGGGAGGCAGGAGAAATCAGTGGAATCCATTGGGATGGAAAAGATCTTTGAGATCCTTGGGTCCAACCCCAAACTCCCCTGTGCAAAATCCACCACTGAACAAATTTCGCATTTGCCGCCCCTGCATGTCTGTTAAATACCTCCAGGAATGGTGGCTCCACCACTTTCCTGTGCAGCCTGGGCCAATGCCTGATCTCTCTTCCAGGCAATGAATTTCTGAGTGGTATACATTCTAACCTCTGCTGGAACAAGCTGAGGCCATTTCCTCTGGTCCTAAATGCCGCAGCCTTCCTCGCTGTTTCTTCATGTGCTCATGACCTTTGGGGCCCAGCGGTGGCAATGGGAGTTCCGCCTTCGCTGGCCTTCACTTTTAGGAGAGACAAGGGCAGAAATGCTGATGCTAACGCTGAGGATGGAGCTGGAATGACTTAGCTGTTTGTTGCTGCCTCAGTAATAACCTCTTGGTCTCCATCCCTCCCTTTTGCCAGAAGAAGAGAGGTAGTAAGGGCAGGAGAGTAGAGGGATTGCATCATCTGGATCCACTGGGAGAGCTGAGCAGCTGAGAGCCAGCATGGCCTTTGCAGCGTTGGGAAGCAGCCTTGAAACTCCCTTTACCTAGGCAGTACTTGTCCTTATTGTCTTACTGCAGCTGCCTCCAGAGCTGCCTTGTATCAATCCCTTTCCCACTCTCCATCCCTCCATCCATCCATCCATCCATCCATCCATCCATCCATCCATGCATCCATCCTGCCATCCTGCCATCCATCCATCCATCCATCCATCCATCCATCCATCCATCCATCCATGCATCCATCCATTCATCCATCCATCCATCCATCCATCCATCCATCCATCCATCCATCCATCCCTCCATCCATCCATCCATCCATCCATCCATCCATCCATCCATCCGTCCTTCCATCCATCCATCCATCCTGCCAGGCTATGGTGCCATGAACAATGAGCCACATTCTGTCCAGGGTCAGGTGGTTGGTTTGGAAAGGCAGCAGCTGCTGGGTCCACGGCCTGGGAGGCTGAGGCTTGTGTTTGCTTTGGGGGAAGGACACGTTGKGTATCAGGAGAAGACACCTCCCCTCATGACAAACAGCTGCCGCTGGGCAGCAGGTGCACACAGGGTGTGTTGACAGGGCTCCAGCAATGGTCATCAGGTGCATTCCTACTTCCTCCTCCCAGGGGCTTTGCCTACGTGTCTCATGTCTYTTGTGCACAGTCACCTGAKGATCTTGAGGGTTTTAGATGTGATGTCTAATGTTCCCAGAGTGTGTTGTGCACTGCTATGAAGATGGCACACACCTTGAATGAAGGCTCCTGCTCTGCTGCCTTGTATCTCAGGTTTTTTCTCTTCTTCCCTTCAGATCATGATGGCTGTCTCCGAAGAGCAGGCTCTGATTGGAGAGAGAAGGCTCAGGATGCCCAGCTGCCTCCTAACGCTGACCAGAGTGGTGCTGAGCCACAAGCTCTGGGCTCTGTTTATCCTCATCTTTATGATCGTGTCCTTTGCCTACCACAAGTTTTACTGGAGGATCTGGGACACAGATCCATCATCAGTGTTGAAGACAGAGGTAAAGGGCACAGGCCACCCCTACACCTTGTCTGCTGAAAGCAGCTCTGCTTCCTCTGTGCCTTCTTCCCACAGCACTGCTGCTGGGCCCTCTCCTTCCCCAGAGAATGTTTTTTTTGTGGAGACCTCGGATCAAATTAACCCCAGTTACCTGTTCTCATGCTCTGTGGAGTCAGCGGCCAGGACACACCCAGGRTCAAGAGTTGTGGTGTTCATGCAAGGTTTGGCTGGAGGGAACACAACCTTACCCAGTCACTGGGCTTTTTCCTTGCTAAGCTCTTTCCCCAATGTGGAAATGGGGCCCCTTGACCCGACCGAGCTCTTTTCTGGAACACCTCTGGCACAATGGTACTTGAAGCCTCAGCTGCGTCAGGAGCCTCATTTTTTACATGTCCTAGCTGATGCCTGCAGGATTGTCCTCATGTGGAAGTTCGGTGGCATCTACCTGGATACAGACTTCATTGTACTTAAGAACTTGGAGAACCTCACCAATGCTATTGGGATTCAGAGTCATGATGAACTGAATCAAGCCTTTCTGTCCTTTAAGCCCAAACATGAATTCATGGA